CTCACAGGCTGGCAGAGTTCCAGCCTGCAAGGGGTTGGGGAGAGCAGGAGGAGGGCAATCAGCAGGGGAGACCATGTACATGCGTGCACATACACATGTACATGGCTACCAAGCAGGCTGGAGAGCTCCCCACAGGTAAGTTTGGGTAGGGGAGAGGGAGGAATTGAGGGGAGAGGGAGGAATTGATAGGAAGGGAGGGAGGGAGTTGGGCAGGGCTGGGGCTATTGCCCAGCTGGCGTAATAGGTGGGGCTTAGGGCTCAGGACCACGTGTGGCTACAGAGCCCAGGTAGGGAGCAGGACAAAGCTGCAGGTGGCTCATCAGGTGGTGAGAGGGGCTGGCTCCCTGCTGCTGCACCTACTCCTGGGGGCCATATGCCCCCCAGATTTGTGCATGGGGTGGGGGCAGGCAGGTCACAGTGGGTAGCCTACTTCCCTCCCCAGCCCCACAAGGGCTCTGCTCTGGTCATGCCATACATGGAGGAGGAAGAGCCGGGCTCTGTGCTCTGCCACAGCAGCCACTGCCTCCCATGGGCAGCAGTCAGGGCTCAGGTACTGCTGTAGGGGGCAGGGAGATGCAAACCCGGATCCCTAGTCCTTTAGACCTGGCAGCTGGGGCTCCCTGCAGCAGGGCTGGGGTGAAGAGGCAGGGAGCTGTGGGGGTAGAGTGAGGGGCACACACGGGGTCAGAGAATTGTGGGTGAGTAGTGAGGGGCAATGGCATTGATAGGGCACCAGCATATCAGGGCTGCTCAGCACCAAAAAACCAGTGTGGGAGCCAGGGGCAGAGAGGGGAAGGGGGCGGGGGAGGGGAAAGCTGCAGCTGGCCCTGCATCCTGGTGAGCAAAGGGGGCAGGGGGAGCTGATTTTCCATGATAAAAAAAAACACCAAATTAAGTACCAAAATGTATAGGTATTTAGAATTTGTTATATGATAGTGATTGAGGCACTGGTAGGCTTCCAATTTGCTTTAAAAGTTTAAATATATCAATCAAACATTGTTTTCAACTAATACCTATATAGTAGTATTTCATTTTAAGCATGGAAAAATGTGGTTTTGGGGGTTCTAAATCAGAGAATTTGTAGGGGGGAGGGGGTTATCAGGGAACTTGTAATTTTTAAGCAGAGAAAAGCAGGATCCCCAATCATGACTGATGAAATAACAAAATTCTTTCAAGGTGTATCCTAATGAAATCCATTCCCTTCCCCAAATTGCACCACCCCAATTTAATTGCCATCCTCTAAGGCACATTGTGAAATTCAAAAATTCCAGTGAAGAAAGTTCAGGCCCTCCTATTTCAGAATGAATTCTGTAACACAAAAGGACCATTTAAAACAAAATTCTGCTTTACCGTCTGAATTTGTGGAATCTGCATTATGGAATGACTATATAATATGAAGCTTTATACATAGCCATATTTTAGACATTCCTTTTACAGATTAAGCTGTTCTGCATCAGATCATGTAAGCCTTGACCTAACCATTTAATTGCAGGACAGCCAGGTCACAACAGTGAGAAACAGAATCCATCGTTTCAATGCAGTTCTTTAAACAACAGTACTGCCTACAGGCTTATATTAAAACCAAACAAGCAAAGATGTGTTCACTTTCTAAAGTTTTTAGATCATTTCAGACAATCCTAGGATTCTCACAGGCATCGTCCAAAGCAGGTTACACATGAATGGATGCACCAAAGGCTTAAAAGATTTTTTTAATGCACTGCTAAACCAGACCCACAACTGGATGGTGCCAGAGTACCAAGCTCAAGGGTGCCTTTGCTCTCTTAAGTACTGTGAAGGGAGTCAGAAGAGGTACACTGGGTGCAGACAGGTAGTCATGTGAGAAGTTGGTCTTTTCTGAAAACAGAAGCTCACAAGTCAACATGTAAAAGTCTTGTGGAGAAACTTCTTCACTGATCAGTCAGAAAAGGAATGGCTGGCACGTGTTAAGGTCTCTTAGCTCAAGTACCTAGAATATAACCTGAAAGGTAGTGCCAAGGCATGGGAGTTAAGAATCGGAAACCTGCACACTTGTTATCTTTAGATTAACTTTGTTAATTTCTTAAATTATTTGGCACGTTGTTTCATGGATGCACTGAGACTTAATTAATGTTTTAACTCTGCAACAGCTTAAGAAGGCATCATTATTAAGTAGGTGTGAGAAACTGTCCTTATTCGATTCAGATTCGGCCCAAAACAGGGACAGTGATTGGATTTGTTGATTTGGATCACTGTCCCCAATTCAATTTGGCCGAATCAGAATCTGAAGATTCAATGCTGATTCGGAGAATCAGCAATTTGGACACAGACGCAGATTTAAATGTTTTTTCTACACACCTTGAGGTAGCAGGCGCAGCTTGTGAATGCTGTGATGCTGGGGCAGATGGAACATCCCACAGGAGTGTAGGGGGGCCCTTCAGGTGCTCGGTGGTGAACCCGAAGTGGACTGGAAGTACTTCCAGTCCACTTCCAGGTCTGCCAGGTAACGCACTGGGGTGCCCCCCTGTGCCTCCTTCGCTTGGTGATTGGCTGCAGGGGGACCCCAGGTGCCCCCCCAGACCCAGGAGGCCCAGGGGAGGCTAAGCCGGGGGGGCATGGGGGGACCCCAGCACACTCCCTGGCAGACCCAGAAGTGCTTCTGGTCCGCTTCCAAGTCTGCTGCTGAGTACGCTGGGGAGCACCCCCGTGCTCCTGTGGGATGCTCCATACACCGCAGCATCACAGCGTTCATGAGCCCCTGCTACCTAGAGGCAGAGCTGACCCGAGCAGGTTGCGGGGCCCAAGGCAAATCAGCCCATGAGGGGCCCCACCCTTGCTCCAATCCCACGGCCCCAGACCCGATTAGCTGCTGCCGGCGGCGGCATCAGCAGTGAGGGGAGGAGGAGTAGCAAACGGCTGGATGTGGAGCCACCACTCCTCCACGCTCTGCAGAGCACCCCAAAGCACAAGACCCAGGGCAGTTGCCCCAACTGCCCCCACACTGGACAGCCCTGCCTAGAGGCATGTAGAAAAAACATTCAAAGCCGTGTCTATGTCCAAATCTCTGCATCGATTTAGAGGGTTCCAATTCGATTCGGAGAGATTAAAGGGTCCTCTGATTTGATTTGGCCACCAAAATCGGGCCGAATCTCCGCCAAATTGAATCCGGAACCAAAGCTTCGCACAGCCCTATTATCAAGCAATTCATAAAGCCACTGGAGCTTACTGATTTTCTGTAGTACATCCCATATTACATTACATCAGCATATGATTTAATATGGAAGCCATATAAGATTCTGTGCAATTTTTAGGTCGCTACTCTTCCTAGGTCAATGATAACTGACCTTTTTTTAGTAGAAGAGATACTTGCAAAACTTTAACAAAAGAATTTTCTTGAAAAGAAAATTGCATTCACTACTTTCAAAATCAGTTGAAATGTGACAAACCAGGAATAAATAGCTATGCATAAGGTATAAGCTAACTACATTAGGAATAATAAACAAAAAACAACAACAACAGTCATTAGTCTGACTAATGAAAGTATTAGTCACCAAGAAACTGGTCTAAATTTGGCAAACACCATCTTATAAAAATTGATTACCTTAATAAAGTTATTCCTTTTATCTCAATATGATTCATAGCATCTCTAATCCTGCTTGGGGTTTCAGATAATGAATCTTAAGAAAAAGCTCATATCTATTCTAATAAGTTCCAAAGGGAAAAATTTAATACTAGGAGGAACCCCCCACACTAAACCGAGTTGGACTCTTGTGTTTTGTAACAAAAATCCTCTGTCTAGTAGATCAGCATCCCTTTCACTCTGCTTGCTCTTCTTCACTGACCCCACATATGTTGGCTGTTGTTTCATTTAACTCCCTTCTTATTTTTATCCCTGCATTTTGCCATTCTCCTGGATAATGATTTAATCCCTTGCATTACTTAAAATAGGACCTACAAATTAACACGATCTTTTTATGTGCCATTCTGGAGCCAAGATCTCACACTGCCTATGTCAGCAGCACTGAGAAGATACTTTCCAATATTGCAATGCTCTGTTCCCTTGTACCATGGGCTAACAAGTAAAATTTAGAAGAGATTTAAATTAATTTAATTTAAAAAAAAAAATCAACTAAAATTTTTCACAGGAGATGAAATGGCTACTAAGCAACTGTGGTCAATGAAAAGCCCACAGTACTTCCTCAAGAGAAGGGCTGTTAATCTCCCAACACAATTTCAAGTTAATTACTTTCTGCTACCTAAATTTCAATTTCAAATAGATTCAGCACTTATTCATCTATTATCCTAACCCCTTGTTTAACACTGCTGTGACCTTTCTGATGACCTATCCCAGATATGGCTGTATTTTAAACATATAACACTGTATAAATTACAGGTGCTGCACATTTTATAGTTTGTAAAAGCAGTTTTATATATATTAGGTTGAAATATATATCAGCTTTGAACACAAAATATATAAAACTACTTTTACAAATTACTAAATGGGTTGGGGGGGTTTGTTTGTTTTTTTAGATATTTAGATATTATGTGCTGGTTATTGAAAGCTGCTAGTGTTTTTAAAAACACAGAGAGAGATATTTCTGTGAAAGTGAACTGAAGATAATGGTATTATATTGAAATATAGTCAAATATTAGTAAATTATACTTTTTCCAAAGCTTCAACAATTGGGGTTGCCTTTTTTGGAGGAAGGGGAGTATGTAAGTAGAAAGCCCAATGTGGATCAGTTTGAATTAAGTTCCTATTCTCTGTTTCCTCTCACTGGTTGTACACAGGTCTCTAAGGATCTTCATAGATGTTCAAGTACTTCATTCCTATTGAAATGCATTTTAATATTATCAAATGTGAGATCTGACCAAAGTGCTTGGAACATGAATGGCTATTCCCAAGACGATGAAACTGTTAACATTAAAGTAAAAAATATTAAACAAACTAAAGCTATTCAACATTCATGCAATGAAGTATCACAAAAATGTTTTCTTAAAATAGTGAGAAAGCAAAAATATACCTTATAGCCTCTTCCACAGATTGGCCAATGATATTTGAAGTTGGCCCCGGCTGTGACAAGGGTGTCAGGTTAAGCACCCACTTCACTGGTTTGTAGTACTCATCACTGGAACTTAACAGATAAAACAACGTGGTGAGGAAAATCACCTGAAAAACAAATCACAGCTTAAAGTACAAGTACTAAATACTATAGTGCATTTAATATAATTAGGAAGAACACAAAATACTACCAGATCAACTTAGCATCAGAAAAAATAAACCTTGTTCATCAAATCAGCATATTTGCATGTAATCTGCACCTTTCCAAAATAGATTTTGATGGTTACCTCTAAATATTCCAGGTAAGCATATTTGTAAGTAGTCTTCCCACATACAGTAGTAAAATCGCTAGTCCTACACTACAGAGTTTTTCATCAGGCATGGGGAATTAGAATATGTAGTATATGAAAACTTGAATTATGACTCGCTATTTTTAAAGCAAATTATTTTGAGTTCTTTCAATATTAAACAAGCATTGCATAGATAGACATAATAGGATGAAATTAAGAGACAGAAAATTTTAGCTTATGTGTTAGAGCAAACCTTCCCTGCCTGAAACGAATTATTTTGTTTCTCAGCACCCCCTCACCTAATAGATAGCTTTAAAACAAAAAGTGTCCATAAGATCATGTAGTTTCACTTCCTATACAACCAAAACTATTACATTTAACCCCACTTTATTATGCTCAATAACTTTTTGGCTAAAACAAGTCTTCTACAATAAACCCAGCTTTAATTTTAAGTTCCCAAGAAATGAAAAATCCACAGTTCTTCTTGGGAGTTCGTTCACCATTAAACATTTATGCCTTAATTTACTCTTGAATTTCCTGCAACTCAGCTTCCAATCATTTGTCTTTAGGTATACCTTTCTCTATTAGATAAAAAGAGCACTTTCATAGCCTGCGATTCTCCCATGTTGGTCACTCTTCACTACACTACAGTAGTCTCCCATTGCTCACTATCAGTTACCTTCTGCTCTTTGTTTTTATTCATAACCCATTCAAAAAAGTGTTCAAAATTTCCATGTTCTCTGTGGGATTTCAGGTGACCTTATAACACCTGGATCTTTCATCTTCTTATTCTTCAATATGCGAGTTGAACCCACTATTCACTGTACCTCCACAAAAATTCTGAAAATATTTTCAAAGTAGAATACACTTGTGTCACTGATTACAGGGCCCAAGTCAGCCTTTGTTTAAGCAAGCACAACTACTTTGACTTCAAGTTCAGCTGCTTTTGTTCGTCTCAGTCTGAATTCTGCAGATCAATACTGAGTTAAACTGAGACAACAGATTTATTTGGATGCAGACAACATTTGCAGTTAAATGATGGTGTTGTTTGACTTTCAGAGTTCCCTTTTTATTACAAAAAAACCCTGAAGGATGTGATACAGTGGCAAATTAAAACTGCAAACTCTTGAAACCAACAATCAGTTAAGCGTTGGACATACAGAAAGCTAGTCTCAAGAAGAAATTTGATGAAGAAATGTTTAGTTGGATTTCTAAGATTTTTGTTCTAAGCATGCAGAGATGTTCAAATGAAGTGTTTTGACAGCAAATCTAGTGTTATCAAAATCAAAACAAAAAATCTTTCCATAATGTCAAAATGGACCATTTTCAAATTTTTGCACGAAAATATTTAGATTTTTCATTTTCAAATTACTTGTCAAAACAAACTTCATCTCAATATCTGGTCTAATTTCAAGGTGATATTTATAGACATTAGAACCTAAAAACAGCCTACCATGTTTTTCCTGTGCTTCAGAGTTCCACATGTGCACGCAATTTTCATTAAATTGAGACATGGAGTTTGCCATTTAAAGAAAGTAAAGTTTAGCATTTCGGCACCATTACTAGACCAAAACAACTTCAATTTGATAAAATTTTGTTCCAACTAACTTTGATAGTGCAATTAATTGATACTACAAATACAACATTTTGCTAATAAAAAAAAGTTGTGAAGGGGGCAGTCTGGTAACAATTAGGGAAACAACTACAAATCACATTGAGAACTAAGAGTTGTTCAGAGAAATTCAAATCCCTGGCAGATGTTACATTCATTGTATAATTAATGCACAATAAATTGTATCATGCTGCACATTCAACCAATTTATCACATGATAATAGTGATAAACTAGACACAAAAGTGTCCCATGTTTGACATGGAACACCTTTGTGAGTGGTTTGTATCATGTTTTAAACTGAACATGTGGAATGTTGAAGGATGCTTGGGGAGTCTATTACACAGAGTCACTCCCCTGTGCTGAGCTTCCCACAAGCCTATTTAAAATTTCCCAGCTCATGGGGTGCCCAGCACCTCAGAGCTGGGATTCCTGGGTTCCATAAAGTTTAAAGCAGTGCTATGCAGCCCAGCATCAGGGTCTGCCACGCTGGACTATACATCATGGCTTTAAAGGTTCTGGCATACAAGTACCCTGGTATCATGATACCAGGCTGCCTGGGCACTAGCAAGTTTAAACCCAGGCCATGCAGACTGGCATTGGAGTCTGATGTTGGGCTGCAAGGCACAGATTTAAAGGTCCCGGTGTACCATTACAACTTGACATGCCTTGACGTGAATGGCTGGCATGTCAGGACACACCATTTTTGAGAACTGGGATAAAATTCCTCAAATCCCATCACACATTTAAGTTAAAATCTCCCAGGAGTCTCAAAGAACACAAATTGAACCTTATGCTGTCAGAGAGACTTTTCTATTCCACTTCATAGGGTTGAGTAGAAAATAGAGGAAGAGAAGGAAAATAAATGTCTCAGACTTTTTCCAAGGCATAGATTCTAGGTACGAGCACAGATCATTGGCATGGTTTTCCTTTCTCAAACACTGGCTGAAGCTAAAGGGATTCTGGATGCTTAGAAAACAATTAATCTTGGCCCTGTACATTAAAATGGATACTCTACAAAAGTCTGTTCCCTCACTACAAAATAATGAAAATTTCTGGGAAGCTGTCAACATTCTGACTTCAAGAGTTATCAGAAAAGCAGAGGATAGGTCACATTGAATCAGAGCTTAAAGAAAAAGCAGACAATCAAAAGTTGCCAGTGTTTCTTAAGTTACTTCATAAATCAATTCATTTTTTAAGAGAAAATCGGGAGTATAAAAGAAAAAGTCCAAGTTTAAAATATACATATCCTTGCAGTTCAGAATATTGATTCTGACCCCAGAAACTTACTTTTACTCATCTCAAGCTGAACAGCTGCATGATTTCCTATGCAGGCAGGAAGCCATAGGATGACTTCATGCAAAGCCAAAACAACTGGATTAAAACACTGATTCAACCCCATCTGATGCACATAAAAGGAGTCTATCCTGAGGGTCACTAAAGCCATGATATCTTTAGGTGATATCATTATCACTAATGCCATAATATATTGCTCCTATCCTACATATCTATCAGAAGAGAGGCATATGAAAGGCTAAAGTGGAACAAAATTCCATCTACTCTGAGGAAAAAAAAAACACTTTTCAGGATAGTTGAAGTTCTGTAGGGAAGATCCGTTAAAGGCAGACAAACTGCCTCTCTTGAATTTTCAGAACATCTAATAAATTTCTTTTACTCGCTGGCTCAGCTAACAGACTGCTGGAACGTTTATTTACCAAGCTCAGTAGAATGATTTACTGTATGCCTTAAACTGAAGGGTCCTTTTTTTCATTTCTTCATCCCTTATTGTTTATTCTTAAAAACGATACAACTTACAGTAAAAATCTTTATGCACATCTAAGATTTCAATTAATATTTTACAACTAGTGAACTGCCTGTCAAGAATGACTGGGAGGGGGGCAGGCAGACAGAGCACCACCAGCCACCACCCCATGCTGCCGCCACCTCCCAGGACC